TCAAATTTATTGGTACCAATCAACTCCTTGAACATCATCCATATATCTATGACAAAAGAAAACATTAGAGGAGGCCAGAGAAGACAAAGTACAACACCAGATATCCTTTGAAATTATTGATATTATTAGGTATGAATGATTTCTTTCCTCAAAAAGATACGAATGATTTCTAACATTTTTATGTGAAGGTTTTCGCCTATCTAGAGAACAAATAAGGACTCGTCCTGGGTTCCAGATCTTTGCTGGGAAAGATCTGGGCAAAAACCGCAAAACTGCAACTTAATTAAGAGACTCGATTTGTATAACGTAATAGAGAAGGAGAGAAACGGATGTTTTAATATATTTTCAGTGTGTCTAAAACTGGTTTACAAGGCTGCAATTTATACACATCCTAATCATGTATATAAGGTAAATAATAATACACATTAAATGACAAGGATTCTAACGGCTAAATACAATATTCTGGAAATCAGCTCTTTCCTTCAATATGCCCCCGCAAGCCAGGTATTCTGTCACTGCCAAGAATCCTGAGCTTGTCTCTAAGAAGGACGAAGCGTTGCCGGGGAAGCGGTTTGGTGAGGGCATCAGCTATCTGATCAGAAGATGGGATATGATGAACCTGTAGAAGTCCTCGTTGAACCCGCTGGCGAACAAAATGAAAGTCAATAGCCACATGTTTCATGCGAGAGTGAAAGACAGGATTTGCTGAAGATGTGGTAGCACCTTTGTTATCACAAAGGAGGAGTGGAGGAGAAAGGAGCGGGTGCCGCAACTCACGCAGAAGAGATTCAATCCAAATAATTTCAGAGGCAGCAGTGGAAAGAGCTCGGTATTCAGCTTCCGTGGAAGACTTAGCAATAGTGCGCTGCTTGACTGACTTCCAAGATATAAGGGACTCCCCAAGAAAAATGGCATATGCGCTGGTGGAGGAACGATCATCAGGATTCCCTGCCCAGTCAGCATCGGCAAAGGCACGGAGAGAGGGGGATGTGCTTCGACAAAGAAGGAGACCATGAGAGGTTGTGCCCTGTAGATAGCGCAAAAGACGTTTGAGAAGCTGCCAATGATTATTTGTAGGTTTATGCATGAATTGAGCCAGTTTATTAATAGCAAAGGCGACGTCGGGGCGGGTAAGATTCAAATATTGAAGTGACCCGAGGACCTGGCGATAGAGAGTGGTATCACAGGAGCCTGAACTGTCAAACAGAGTTAATGAAGCAGAGGAAGCTAATGGCGTAGCCACAGGATTAGCCTCATCCATTTTCACTATTTTCAACAAGTCCATAATGTATTTATGTTGATCAAGAAAGAGTCCATTCTGTGTAGGAGTAACCTGCATGCCCAAAAAATAGTGCAAGGCCCCTAAATCCTTGATAGAGAACTGGCGGGCCAATGAGTCAATAGTCTGACGTATCAATGCTGGTGTAGAGCCAGTAACAATGATGTCATCCACATAAACCAATACATAGATGTAAGATGGATGGGAGGAAAAGACGAACAGACTGGCATCAGCAACAGATTGATAAAACCCAAGTGATAGAAGAAATCCACTAAGAGATTGATACCACACCCGAGGCGCCTGCTTAAGGCCATAAATAGATTTCCGCAGACGGCAAACAAACCCAGAACCATCATTAAAGCCAGGAGGTTGTTTCATGTAAACTTCCTCCTGAAGATTTCCATGTAGAAATGCGTTATTGACATCTAACTGATGTATCGGCCAACTATGGGAGAGAGCAATAGTCAAGACAATGCGAATAGTGACCGGTTTGATGACCGGGCTAAACGTGTCAGAATAATCAACCCCAGGGCGTTGGTGAAAGCCCTTAGCCACTAACCGAGCCTTATAGCGATCCAAAGAGCCATCCGATTTATACTTCACAGTATAGACCCATTTACAACCCACAACATTCTGACCAGGCTGAGCCGGAACAAGATCCCAAGTGCCTTGTCGAACCAAGGCATCAAATTCTACTGTCATAGCACTCCGCCATTCTGGTACCTGCATAGCTTGAGAAGCACAAGTGGGAATTATATGGTGAGGTAAAGGAGCATTAGTAGTAATATTGGCTTGCTTACGGGGTCGAAGGGTCATCGGATGGGTACGTTTGGGTGGTGGAGTATCAAGGGGTGGGTTTGAGGTAGTGGGATCAGTGGTGGTGGGTAGATGAGGGGTGGGGATAGGAGGATTGGGTTTGGTTCGGCGTTGGTAAGTAATAATTTGTGGTGGTGTGGGTTTAGGAGGGGTGGGTTCAGTTTGGGTGGAGATAGTGGGTGACGTGGCAGGAGCCAATTGTTGAGATGAGGTATGAGTAGGTGGAGACGCCCCCGCAGCCAGAGTATCTGAAATGGGAAGGTAAGACATAGAGGGTTGAAGCCAGTGATCAACTTCAAAAGAAATATTGGAGACGGGTGATGAAGATGTAGAGAAAGGGAAGACTGACTCATCAAACACAACATGCCTGCTGATAAAGATACGGTTGGTTGTAAGATCAAGACAACGATAAGCGCTTTGTTGGTCACAATACCCCAGGAAAACACACGGTTTAGATCGTGGTTCTAATTTATGAGTGGTATACGGACGTAACCAAGGAAAACATTGGCACCCAAAAATAGCAAGTTTAGAATAATTAGGGGTTTGTTGGAAGAGTTTTTCGTAAGGAGTGCAAAAGTTAAGAGAGAGAGCAGGCTGCCTATTAATGAGATAAACCGCTGTAAGAAAAGCATAGGACCAATATTTAAGAGGCATGGATGCATGGTGAAGAAGAGTGATACCAGTTTCCACAATGTGACGATGCCGACGTTCAGCAAAGCCATTGTGTTCTGGGGTGTAGGGAGGCGTAAATAAATGAGAAATACCACATGTGCTTAGGAATTTCCCTAAGGTGATGTATTCTCCTCCCCCATCAGAATAAACTGTTTTAATGGTGCGTTGAAAAAAGTTTTCAACAATCCTTTTAAATTGTTGAAAGAGTGGGGTCACCTCACTCTTATGAGTCATGGGATAAAACCAAATATATTTGGTATAATGATCAACAAAGATAACATAGTAACGAAAGCCATCAACAGAATTAACACGAGCGGGACCCCAAACATCTGTATATATTAAATCTAGAGGCCCAAAGCTCGAAAGAGATGATTTTGCAAATGGTAGCTTATGGCTTTTATTACTAGCACACGAGACACATAGAGAATTATTTGGAGTAATATCGGCAAAAGAAATACCTAAGGAAGATAAGATTTTTTTAGTGATAGGGAGGGCAGGATGTCCTAAACGACAATGCCATTTATTAAGGGAATATTTTTGTGTGATGTGAGCAGATGGAGATGGTGGAGGGGGGGCGTCTGGCAAGCTGTAAACATCTCCTTTATTCATACCCCGTAACAAAATTGCTCCTGTTCGCCGGTCCTTAACAAGACAAAAGGAAGAATGAAATTCAATTAGTACGTCATTATCACGACATAATTTGGCGACAGAAATTAAATTGGTATGAATAGAAGGTACAAAAAGGGTATTAGGTAGAGAAAGAGAGTGAAGGGTCATATGCCCAACTTGTGCTATCGCAAGACCTTTACCGTTCCCAATAACGAGAGAGTCAGTGCCAGTATAATCGGATGCCAAGGTAAGATTATTCAGGTTGTTGGTGACATGATTGGTTGCTCCAGAATCAAGTAGCCAACCATTGTGATTAGTAATAGCCGTGTTGACTTGGGGAGGATACGCCTGTTGTTCAAATCGATGCCAACAATTGAGAGCAGAATGATTTGGTTTGCCACAAATTTGACACACAAGATTTGCCCCGTAATTACTATTCCCAGGGGTGTTTCGGGCTGTCAGATTGTTGGTGGGACCCCTAAAAGTATTCTGTCCACGTCGGTTGGAGTTATAAGAAGCAGGAGGTTGCTGATTTTTGGGCTGACTCCCAGTATTATTCCGGGCTGGATAATTCTGGCGACTGGACTGGGGGTAACTTTGAGCAGATGGGCCAGGGCCCAATATTGAGGAGGTGTGAGACGGGCCTGGTCCTCTGCGAGCAGCGAAGGCGACCGACTCCCCACTTAGTACTTGACGAGGCGGATCTTCTGCGACTCTTGCGGTATTAGCGGTAACCACCGCTACAGACGGGTCGAGAGCTTCCTTCCGTTTCAGAGTTGCTTCGAACCCAGTGAGGAGAGTATAGATGTTGCTGAAGCTGTTATCTCCACAGGTTCGAATAGAGTTGGTAAAGGAGTCAAACTCAGGCCGGAGTCCCTCCATGGCTTGAAGGACGAAGTCGTCGTCATCGACGGGGCGGCCAGCCTTAGCTAATTCGTCGGCGAGCGTACGGAGATGATGGAGATACTCGCCTACTGTTTTAGATCCCTGACGAGTGTGGCGGAAGACATCCTTCATATTCCTGATTTGAGCTGCTGAACGGGTCCCGTAAAGTTGCTCCAGAGTTTTCCACACCGCAGCAGAGGTACGTGCGGATCCGACCAAGGGTTTACACGCCGAGCTCAGGGAGGAGACAAGAGCATGTCGGAGGAGACGGTCTTGCCGATTCCACCGGAGATGCTCTGCGGCGTTACTGGGAGGTGGCGGAACAGCACCATCACTGATGTACTGGTCGAGATGCGAGCCAACCAAGAGGTCAAGCACTTGGTCACGCCATATGAGGTAATTGGTCCCTTCAAGTTTTTCTGGGAAGTGGCTGGGGTTGAGGATGATTAAACCGTCTGGAGTGAGGGGGTTGACTGTGGTAGAGGGAGTTGTAGAAGAAATGGCAGGCTGCCCATCTAGGGGGTCGTCTGCCGCCATAGGAGAAGAAAGAGGGCTGGTTAGAGCTCGTGCGGCTCTGATACCATAATAGAGAAGGAGAGAAACGGATGTTTTAATATATTTTCAGTGTGTCTAAAACTGGTTTACAAGGCTGCAATTTATACACATCCTAATCATGTATATAAGGTAAATAATAATACACATTAAATGACAAGGATTCTAACGGCTAAATACAATATTCTGGAAATCAGCTCTTTCCTTCAATATAACGATGAGTTGCTCAGAGAACACTTGGCCTGTAAATGTGTTATTTATAGTATCACTATCAGATGCTGCAGATAGAAAGTGTACATTAAGCCCGAAATGGCTCCCATATTATTATAACTATCTGATATATTATTGTTTTTATATATGAAGTATGAAGAATACAGTGCAATAATTGCATAAATGATTAACGGGCTAGAAATTTGTGTCCCTCTATTCAATCATTTCTACCTCCTAAGCATTCCTAACTACGGATTTTAAAAACCATCCTTACGACCGCATACAAAACGAGAACAATGTTTCGGAGCGTTTGAGGTTGAATGAATAAATCATACGTATACCAGTATGATCATCATGCATCATCAACTCATCCATTTCTACACACTACCTCAATTTCCTCAAAGGCAAAGCGCGACCAAACAACTTCTCCACTTCACTTGCTTTCATTTCAAGTCCATCAAGAAGTTCCTTTTCTTCTTTGCTCAGCTCTTGTAAAAAGTACTTTTCATCCTTCTGCACTTCCTTCAACCCTTCCAACAGTCTACTGAACAGGCTGATTTCCGTGTCTTTCACCTTCTCCACCTCTCCTTCTATCTCTTCTACTTCTCTTATGATTGTCTTCTCACCCTCTTCAACAGTCTTCTCAAGTCTCTCCACAAGGGGCGGTTCGGGGCCGCACGTGTTGTCTGTTTTAGTGAATTGGTCAAAATTCCGCCCCACGCTTTGGGCTGCCCTCTGTATATCAGGAACTATGCTTTCTGGCAAAACAGCACTCCTTGTGTACAACACAGCACCTCCATATCCATCCCATGCATCATTTCGTCCCCGGTAATATACAAATATATAGTCATCTGCTGTGTTTTCCACTTTAGATGCCAAAATATACCTGCATTGCGAGTGTCTGGTTAAAAGGGTCAATTTTGGTTGAAAATGATTGAATGAGCTGAATTTACTATAAATGTGGCCCAAATGACCAAATAAGTCTAATCATCTCAATATTAAAACAAATGTTCTTACATCAACTAAAGAAAATAATATCTAAAAATGAGGGTAAAGTGTCATTACATTCCATTTCAGTCAGAGAGAGAAAATAACTTTTGCACTATCTTTTTTAAGAAGCAACAGTTTCAGCTAATTATGTCAAATAAGTTGGTGAGTTGGTGTTTGGCAGAAAACCTAGATGCACCAGGTGGATAACACAAAAGTTATTGCTAAAAATGGCATCAAATCCATCTCCAACTCTTTGCACTATTTTGTGCTCCCTATGTCCTGAAAACTTGTCATGCTTCAAAGCCATCTCCAACTCTTTACAAGACCAAACAACTTCTCCACTTCACTTGCTTTCATTTTAAAATCATGAAGGTACGTTTCAATCTTTGACACGCAAAAAAACTTCTTTATTCCATTATTCCATTCTACATAACATTTTCATTACCTCTTTACCACTTAAGAGAATAAAACAAAAAATGGTGCTTGGACAGTTTTATCACCAAATTTGGTGAAACGGCATTAATTTGTGCCAAAATGGTGAAATGGCACAGGGTTGGAGTTGGTCTAAATATGAGTCTTGAATTCCTGATACAATTGTTCCATTTGCAGTCTCTTTGGAACTTTTCAGAGCATATTTCACTCATCTTGAAATGTAAATTTACATGCATAAGAGAAAAGGGTAAAATCCCTCATTCCCAAATTGTTTGTCATTTTGACCAATATATTTTGTCCTAAATTACAATGAACTCCCAAATTAGTCCTTATTGACTTAACCCATATTAAATACTATTTTGCCTTGAAAAGATATGAGAACTCAAAAGCATTTAATGTTGAATTTTTATACGGACAATGATACCATTTCGTAATCTTCTTTAATATGTGTGCACTTTTCTAAAATGTCAATTCAATTCGGACTTAGGGAGTATACAATAGTAAGCCACAAGTTTATATAATACCAGTCATCTTGATAGTGAAGATACTCATTGTCATGATTATATAATATTCCCTGATACTGTGGATCTTGCAAGAAATTCTGCACGGCCGATCGAGTGAAAAAACCTCCATCTGGTGTCCGAATCCGCCATGATAAATTAGCCACAAGTTTGTTTCCTTCAACATGAAACTCGTGCACTTGGCAATCAAAAGTGTCAAAAGTGGGATTTAATCCACTGGTTATAAACCACTTCCCCTCAAAGTCTTTTATCCTGAAGTTTTTTACAAGAACACTTGGATCAGGAGCAGGAAATTCTCCTACATCTGATTTTCGTGGGACACATTTCTTTCGTGACACTGCACACTCATTGAACTCGTCTACTACGCTGTTTTCAAACAAATTGCCACATTGTATCTGTAAGGCAAAAACTTATTAAACATAGGTATCCGTGGGACAGGATTGGATGTGATTATGTGAAGAGAGTTAGTTACCTGGCATTCTGTTTCATCGGGTCTATTGTTACAAGTCTGGAGACAAGTAATATTGGCTGCACATAAAGGGTTTGATATACATTTGGCAAGCTCCAATCTGATTCAAGCAATTCACATATTTATTAACTTGGCCAATATCATCAGTGTAGATAGTTATTTATAAATAATATTAATAGTAAGACTAGCAAATGAGTTTTTGGTAATAGTATTTTCTTCAAAAAGTCAGAACAATCTGATAGTTGATGTTTCAAGACACTAGCCGTTTTGATAAAATTCATAAATAGGAGTAAAACATAAAGCATTTCAATAAGTAGGATCATCATTATTTTTTCCTTAGAATATGACCCATTCAATCCTAGAAAAAGAATATTTAACTACATTCATTCTTTCTTTAGGACTGAATTAATCCTCTTTTTAGCAATAAAAAACTCCTGTTTGTGCATATGACACATGTTTAACTCATATTTGCAGTATTTTCTTTGTGGTTTTTATCCTTAGCCTACTTTTGGTCCGTTTGCCTGTGTAACTGTGTTTGTTTCTAAGGAAATAAAGAAGAGAGAATAAAGGAGGATAGAAAATTGAGAGAAAAGAGAATTTCTTTTATTGAATGGTAATTTTGTCATTTTAAAAATAATGCACACTTCTTTCGCATCCTTTTCTCTCTTGTTTCTGTCCTACCACACAGTGCACAAAACTGCCCTCTTCCTTACTTGTTTCTTTTTTTCTATCTTGTTTTTTCTTTCTTTCTTCTCTTGCAACCAATCATAACCTTCATGTACAGAAAAAGCAAACAAAAAATGGAAATATAGATTGTGTGTGTGTGTGTAATGTGAACACTACATCTGTAGAATTTGAAAACATGAGAAATGTTTTTTGTTTTCCTATACAGTAGTTATTTGTTATACTGAGGCTGGTTTTGGTCATTTTAACTGGTAGGTAGTACAAAAGAATATGAAAAGCTGATCAACAATAAGGAGGATAATACTCCAGGCTCCAACGGTTAAGTAAATAATTAACTGCTTTTATTCTTTCTTTAGGACTGAACTAATCCTCTTTTTAGCAAAAAAAACTCGTATTTGCAGTATTTTCTTTGTTTTTTATCCTTAGGCTGCTTTTGGTCTTTCGAGCTGTGTAACTGTGTTCGTTTTTTAGGATATAAAAAAGAGAGAAAAAAGGAGGATAGAGAATTGAGGGAACAGAAAATTTATTTTAGATTTCTTTTATTGAAGGGTAATTTTTTCATTTTAAAACTAATGCACACTTTCTTCCCATCTTTTTCTCTCTTGTTTCTGTCCTACCACACAGCGCACAAAACTGCCCTCTTCTCACTAGTTTCTTTTTTCTATCTTAGTTTTTCTTTCTTCTCTTGAGACCAATCATAACCTTCATGTACAGAAAAAACAAAAAACAAAAAGGAAATATAGATTGCATGTGTGTATAATGTGAACACTACATCTGTAGAATTTAAAAACATGAGAAATGTTTTCTGTTTTCCTATACAGTAGTTATTTGTTATACTGACGCTGGTTTTGGTCATTTTAACTGGTAGGTAGTATAAAATAATTATGAATAGCTTGATCAACAATAAGGAGTATTATACTCCAGGCTCCAGCGGTTAAAGATAAAAACTAATGGAAATATTTCATCTCAATTTCTCATGCTAACACTACAAAAGTTCAACTCTTTCAGTACCACTAGAACAAAACTATCCTAAAGATCACAGACAAATAAAATTACCAACCTTAACAGTACTAACTCCTCTGATTTGATGTTTAAGGCATAAAAGAATGGCATACTTTTGTTTTAAATATCAGGCAAGTAGATTTCATATGATACCTGCACTCTTTCAACAAGCAAGTACAAGTTTTAAGAGCATCCACTGCATCAGCCTCTGGAATTACCATAAAAACAAATGCAGCTATTATTGCAGTTTGGGCAAAGTGGGTCCACTTCCTACCGAAGATCAAGGACAGTGCCTCCCAGTATTTGGTTATCTCCTAAAGCAACTTACAATCATCAACATCTAAGACAAAGAGAACATGACCAAAGAGAGAACCAGATCTACCAACAGTCTTTATGAAAACAAGAACAACAACATCATCATCAATTTAAAGAATAAAAGAGCATACACACCCATGCTCTTAAAATAATCGAATTTTTGTGTTCCCACTTCCCACCTCCAAATTATTGGAAGCATATTTTATTTTGAATAATCTCAAAGTTCTCTAGATATAATTCAACTATCATCTCCAAATAATATGATCTTCTAAGGGTCTTGTACTCAGCAGTCTCATGACTCTCATCTAGAGGAAAATAATTTCATCAAAAAAATTCTAATCACTAAAGTGAGATTAAGAAAACGTCACATCACCAAAAGATAATAAGAAAGGAAAATATTGAAGGAAAGAAAATATGGTGAAAATAAAACACCGGCTCAAAGCTCTTTTTTAGGATTCTCTCTAACTAGTTTTATTTCTTGACGAAATCCAAACATATGATAAATAAATTAAAACCATTATCATACTTCTTCTTGCTCCGCATTTTTTAAATTCAAACAAGAGAATAGTTTTCTTTAGCATTTCTTCCCATTACCTAGCATTTCCCCTGATGGCTTGGAGACATAAAATTTGTAGTGCTAACTGCTACTAATTGTCTAAATTAGTTAACACTAGAAAGTCATGCAAAAGTGCATCACAATGAACACTATGGAATTGTGAAACAAATATTACCTTATTATTTGTCAAAGAGCTACTCTCTTTTGTATGTAAAGGAAGGCTGGTGCGTGTAGAACCCAACACGCTGCACATCCTATGAGCTTTAAGCAGCTTCCTGTGTCTCTCTCTCCATCTATTTGGCAAGAACTGCACTATGGCTACACTCTCTGAGACAGTCCAGCTTCCCTTTTTACAACTCAGAAGATGTAACCCATAATTTGAATGAATTGTTTGGTTTTCAAGAAAATGTGAATGTAAAGTGAAGGCCATTCTTCAACCTGGTGACTGGTACAGCAACAAAAATGAATTGACACCAGTAAACTATATGAGATTATCTTAAGATACCAAAATGGAAAAATGTAGTTGAAACTATATGAGATTATCTTAAGATCCCAAAATCAATAAAGAACCTCTCATATATGATATATTTTGATTTAAATTTTAATTTTTTAAAATCTTGAATAGAATGTTTTAAAGAATATAGGACCATCCACATCCATGCTCTCCAAATAGTCGGATTATTCGTGTTTCCACTTCCAAATTATTGCAACATATTTTATTTCGAATAATCTCATGATCTCTAAATAACTTTCGAACATCATCTACAAATAACTTATTTCATTTTGGGTCTTTCACTCATCAGTCTCATCCGGAGGAAATTAATCTCACCAAAATATCTCCGTCACTAATCTTGCTCCCCAAAAAGAAAATGTCATATCACCAACTTCATCCCTTGACAATTTTATGGATGGGGATGCCCTTGATCTGAAAAACTATAGAGAAATACATGATTTAATTAACTATACTCCCTCCGGTCCTTATTAAAGTTCCTAGTTTGACTTCACAGGTTAAGAAAATAAATTTGACTTTACTGTGGAGTGCACTGTTTGGCACTGTTTGGCACTGTTTTGTTTCCTAAAATTGAAGTGTGAACTTAAATAAGGGACATCCCGAAAAGTAAAGTGAGAACTTTAATAAGGACCGGAGGGAGTATATTATTTGTTTCTCATCTAAGATTAACAAATATAGATCAATTAGAAAAACATAAAAAATCAATCATGCCATCTCCTCCGAAATTCCCCAACTAAACCTTTCCTTAAGGCATGTAGTGAAGAGCTGGGTTCTATTGTCAAGCCCGAATTTTGAAACTTAGGAACAGCTGGTGTATATACAGAGGTTATATCTTGTAATTTACCAAGCAAAAGTGCGGCTTTCTTGACAATTTGAGTTCAAATACAATATTTATGCTGTTTAATTCATCAATTAAAAAGACTTTCCGTTTATTGTAGAAATAAACTCCGAATTAAGTAAAGAAAATAAAAAGTGCGAGAAAATTAAGGAAGATGTTTTATCAAGCCAGGTTTAAAGTAATGTAGAAGAAGGTGCGTTACGGTATAAGGTATTGAAGTGATGAGTTGAAGATAAGCAAACCTGAGAGTAATATTAGCTGAGCCGAGCAAAGAGGGTAAAACAGAGCATTGCAGATTTGGAGAAGCTAGGACAGTATGGAGTATGGGCTTAGCAGGAAGAAAATGGAGGCAGGGGCGAAGGGTAGATATTTCTCAGATAATACCACCTTGTGCACTTCGATTCCACGATTGGATAACACTATCGTAAGTTGTCAGAAGCATTCTTGTACACGTTTTTATACCGTCCGTACACGCATGTGTCTCTGAGAGTTATTTTTTGTCTGTGAAGCGCAGTCCACAGACAAAAGCTGACTTGTTTTGTCTGTGGAAAATTTCACAGACAAAACAAGCCAACTTGTGTCTGTGGACTGCACTTCACAGACACAAAAATACTCTCACAGACACAAGCGTGTACTGATGGATATAAAAACGTGTACAAAAGGAAATTTTGAAGTTTTTAAAAGCTTCTTTTTCGAGGAATTGGACTTTGAGAAATGAAGGTACCCAAAATAGGTACCCCATTCTTAGGGCAGAGCACGAGTCGGGTTTGGGCGGGTCGGATTCAAAAAGTGAAACGCGTTCGGTTATCGGATTGATAATTTTAAAACCTATCCTATCAAAAAATTATCGGGTTTTTCGGGTTAAAGAAGTTCGGGTTTAGGCCGGGTTGATTCGGTTTACGGGTCCAATCGGATTTTAATTTATCATTGTTGAAATTGTGATAAATAAAATGGTAATTGATAAAAATATCATTCAAAGTTATACTAGTATAACATTCAAAGTAATAGTTGTATAAATACGGTAATCGACATATTTAAACTTGTAAAATAATAATATACGGTGATTGACATATTTGATATTGTGATAAATAAAATGATAATTGGTATATACAAATGATAGTTGGTATATACGAGCTTAACAGTTAACACTGAACAGTACAATTAGGTATATAAGGAGTATATATGCCATGAGTATTTTGGGTGGTCGGGCGGGTCAGGTAGCATAATTAGTAACCTTACCCGCTACCCGCTTAAGTCTCGGGTTGGAGGAATCAGATCGGGTTTGGATGTTTCGGGTCGGGTTTTCTGACCCAAACGAAAAATTCGGATATATCCAATCGGGTCAATCGGGTAGGGTCGTGGTTGCTCTCCCCTACCCATTCTTACCTCGAGTAGTTTTATAGAGTCATATCAGACTCTCTTATGGAGTCACATACTTTATTGTGGCATCATTCTCACCACACATTATTTTAGTGGAGATCCTAACTAAAATAACCTTGGCCTAATGTGTGGCCGCAAATAGGACAACACATTTAAGTGTGCCACACTTAAATGTGTTATCCATTTATGACCACATATTAAGGCGGAGTAAGAATGGATACTCCATTTTGGGGTACCTTTAACATTTCTCATTTGACCATGCACTCTACTTTTTGAGTGATATTTGACTTTACACACCATTTTGAAAAAACTTTTACTTTGCACCATATCGCATACTCCCTCTGTCCCTTAAAGGTTTGTCAAGTTTGATCGGCACGTAGAATAATAAAGTAAAAACCTGTGATAGATATTTGTGCAGAGGAGAGAGAAATTACATGAGCCACAAATTGATTGATTAAAAGGGAAAGTGACAAAAAAAATTGGGACAACCAAAAATTGAAAGTTGGTAAAGTTATAAGGGACGGGGAAGTAACATTTTGTGAAGAAAAATTTATGACTGGGGTGCAAAGTCAAAGGTTCTTAACTGAAATGGGGTGCAAAGTTAAATATTTTTGAAAATGGCGTGCAAACTCTAATAACACCCAAAAAGTGGGGTGCAAAGACAAATTCTCCTTTTTTTGAGGGTAAGTTTTTAATAGTTTGATTCCTTTGGCCTGTTCACATGTACCACACATACTTGACTAAGGTATCGCATCGACGTGTCGGAAACATCATTGTATTAAATACTCGTATCGGCGGTACGAATATCTGTATCGTACCGAGTCATATCTGCATTTTATACTCCGTAAAGTTTTCTAACTTTTTTGGGTAATTTTTAAAAAAATTGAGATACACGTATCAACTTTTTTATAAAGAAAACATCCAAATATCTTGTTATATTAATGTTTGTATGCTATTTTGCAACTTTATATGTCTCTATTGTTTATAATGTTTATAATTGAATAAGGTTGACAATGAAGTGATTATTGATGTTTTGCTTCATATAGTTCTGCGAGAAATGTTCTTAAGTAATGATTTTTTTTCTTTTTATGCGACGCTTGTGATGTTATTTTTGCTCATATATGTAATTTAAGTAATAGTACGTAGTAATAATAAACTGATTTTGACCTTTATTTTACGACCTTTATTAGATAGGTTAATTATACACCGTAATTTTAAATAACGTGATTTATGATTTGTCTTGGATATAGGGGGTGTTTGGAACTGATTCTACTTCTGTTTCTTTTTTAAAGCAGAAGCAGAATCAGAATCAGTTTTCAGAAGCTGGTCTCCCACAACTTTTAAAAAAACTAATTCTAGGAGTAAATTATAGGTCATGAATAGCAATTGTGTGGCTGCATTTAGAATCACCTCTCAAAGATAATGTATCTCTCATTGGCCCAGATATAGATAGGACCCCCCCTGGTGTTGGCCAAGTATTTTATGTAGCCTTGTTTGGTCTTGGTTGCTTTGTTCATGTGTGCCCTCATTTGTTTGGGGCCCAGGTGAGAGGTGTGGTTTATGTGATTTTGGGTTTGATTGTGTATCTTAGAGTACGACCGCGAGCACGAGCCCATATACTCTATCATAAGGTTTTGCACGTGAATTAATAAAATGGAAATTGTGTGGTGAAAAATTGTGTAGAAAAAAAGAGAATTGTGTAAGAAACATAGTGGTGCACAAATTATTTAACAAAAATAGAAATAGGAGATTATTTATTACTCACTCCATAATGAAAAGATCTTTGCACTTTTCTTTATCAACTATAACTAAATAATTTTCTCATTTCTAAAACTTTTCATTATACTTTCAATAATTTTGAAAATAACACACTATTTCAATTAACATTTTGAATTATCCTTCAATTCATCGCATTATTTCATTATTTTTCCATTGCAATAATTTATACTATTTCATCATAATATGATCCACTTCAAGTTAATGGGGGGGTTTGAGTTTTTTCTTAGCTTACTTAAGCCTGGCGCGCTTACAGTGTAGGCGGGAAATTCCACGTGTCGGGGGCTGAGGAAATCAGCTTGATTAAGTTACGACTTCCGAGTATTGGAAACACACAAGGATATTGACCAACTTGCTCGGCGATTCTCCTAATCTCCTACTACGTATAAATTCCGCAGTTACTCATACATCAAAGAAGAAGGAATTATATATCCAGTTCAGTCTTATACCAATGGCGGTGGAGAGCTTTTCCGGAGCAGATATCAACGCGCTGCCGGATGAATGCATAGCCAACGTGCTGTCGCTGACCAGCCCTAAGGACGCTTGCCGTTTGTCGCTGGTTGCGCCTAGCTTTCACTCCGCTGCGCAATTCGACGCCGTCTGGGACCGATTCTTGCCTTCCGATTGCCGCGAGATTCTTTCCACGGCTTTCAATAGCGCCGATTTGCTCAAGCTATCTTCAAAGAAGGATCTCTACTTTCATCTCTGCGATCATCCCATCGTTATTGACGGCGGCACCAAGGTAATTCCCTGAGCATTAATTGTGTTTTTCAGGCTAAATAGGAGTAAAAATAAAGTGGAATTGCAAAATTGGAGTATAGTTTGCTTTAATACTGCCATAGTACTCTGATATAGGTATAGTCCTCTTGTTTTTATGTTTTACATTTTTTACTCACCCTTGTATGTTTTATATTTTGGAGAGAAATGATTCTGGAGTTTTAGAATAGATTCGTCTAGAACAAACGCATCTAAAAGTCTATGAAAATCAATTTTACTGTTGTATTCACATCGAGATTTATATCCTAGCCTCCTTTTTCGGTTTATTTGTTCAATTCTCTGAAATGAGAAGTGTTTAGTAGTTATCCGCATTATGGTTACTTATTCTGATGCTGGTTCTAATTAATCTGATTATTCAAGAGCTGATTATGGCTTAGAAACAGATTTCTTAATAGTTCTGTTACTCTGCTTAGATGGCCATTTTAGTACTCCCTTTTTAGTAATGCCATTTTACCAATTACGTAGATTGTGTTAGTCATTAATCCTATCGAGCATCAGAAACAAAGATGGTTAAAACTATACACGTGTTTTTCTAATCACCATTTTAAGGGCTGTCATTTTGCTTCCTGACATGTTAATTGTTTTGGCTAAGCAGAGCTTTTCATTAGAGAAAAGGAGTGGAAAGAAATGTTATATGTTAGCTCCAAGGTCACTCCACATTACTTGGGGCGATGACACTAGATACTGGAATTGGATTTCTCTGCCTCAATCAAGGTAAGCCTCAATGACATAAAATGCTTTCCCTTCGGGATGCTGGTGTTTTTCAACATTTTTAATTAGTCGGTAATCAATTGATTATTTCTTGGTTAAACTGGTTTCTTTGCTTCTATGACTGAAATGTCAAGCATCCATTTAGAAAAAAAGAAAAGAAAATAAAGAAATAGATTAAAGCTCAACCATCATGGTAACTCTGCATAAAAAATCATATTCTGTCCATCACTTTGATTTAGTCATGTCTTGAAAAAAAATGAAGTGGTATAATCAAGTTTGATTTTTCTTTGTCTTTTCCAAGGTTTTCTGAAGTTCCTGAGCTTAGTCATGTATGGTGGCTTGAAATTCGTGGCAAGATATGTGCAAAGTTGCTGTCACCAGGTACTAATTACGCAGCATACCTGGTGTTCTCACTGAAATCAAATGCTTATGGTTTTGACTCCGTACCCATCGAGGCTTCAATAGCGATTAGCGGACATGAGGCTAAAACGAGGAGTGTGTATTTGGAACCGCGCGAACACATAGTATCTGCAAGGCAGGTGCGGCAATTCCATCTCCGAATGCCTCATGTGATGAGACACAACGAGAGCACGCCCCGAGAGGAGAATGCAGAATATCAGAAGCAGAGAAGTGATCATTGGATGGAAGTTGAGTTGGGGGATATTTTCATCTCAACAAATGGTGAAGAAGGGTGTATAGATATAAGTTGCCTGGAGGTGAAAGAAGGGAAAGTGAAGCGCGGCTTAGTTGTGCAAGGGATTGAGATCAGACCAAAAGAGGCTATTTAGTTTTGACTACTGGGGGAGTGAGATCAAGCCATGCTAAGAGTCTACCGTACTGTGTTTGTCCCATTGTTTTTAAAT